ACCAGGGAGTGCTCTACTGCTGAGCCACAATCCAAGCCCAAGCATCAACACATTTATATACCTTTTGTTACAATATATTGTTATATGTATCATTGTTAACCTCTTACTGTGCCTAATTTATAAAATCGGATTAGGAAAAAACACTATAAACAATATAAAATTTAGTACTATTTTGGTTTCAAGCATCCACTGGTGGTCTTAGAATACATCTTCATGGATAAGGGAGGACTGTTATACAAATCTTCACCTCCTTGGTCAGATTTATTCCTGAGTGTTTTATCCTTCTTGATGCTGTAGGACATGGGATTGTTTTTTACTTTCTTTTTCATATTGGTCATTGTTATTGAATGGAAACGCAACTGATTATGGAATGCTGATTTTGTATCCTGAAACTTTGCTGAACTTGTTTATTAGTTGTATTAATCTGTTTTCTGTTGCTATAATTGAATATCACATACCAGATAACTTATAGAGAAATTTATTTTTTATTGTTTTGGAGCCTGAGAAGTTCAATGTTGAAGGATCACATCTAGTGATGGCTTTCTTGCTGTTGGGGGCTCTGCAGAGTCCTCAGGTGGCACTGGGTATCTTAAGGAGCGATAAGCCCAAACTTTAACAGACTCACTCTTAAAATAACCCATTAACCCATCAATTCATGAATAGGTTAACCAATTCATGAGGGTAGAGCCTTCATCAGCTAATTATCTCTTAAAGGTCTCACTTCTTAATACCTGACAATGGAGATCGAATTTCTTTTTTATTTTTTAACGTTTATTTTTAGTTGTAGATGGACGCCTTATATTTGTTTATTTATTTTTATGAGGTGCTGAGGATCGAACTCAGTGCCTCAACCATGTGAGGCAAGTGCTCTACCCCTAAGCCACATCCCAAGCCCTGGAGATCAAATTTCAACATGAGTTTTGGTAAGGACATTCAAATAATAGCAAGGTAACTGTTGTTTTGTTTTGTGTGGATTCTTTACACATAAGATCACATCACTTGTGAATAGAGATAATTTTAACTTTCTTCATTTGGATACCTTTGCTTAATTGCTTTTGGACTTTTAACACATGCTTTATCAGTTGGTGTAAGCTAAATTATGCTACAGTAATAAAAACAAACAGCTGAGGATACTGGTGCATGCCTGTAATTTCAGAAGCTTGAGAGCCTGAGACAAGAGGATCTCAAGTTCAAAGCCAGCCTCAGCAATTTAGTGAGACCCTTAGCAACTTAGGGAGACCCTGTTTCTAAATAAAATATAAAAAAGGGCTGGGTTGTGGCACTAGGCACTGGGTTTGATCCTCAGCACCACCACATACAAACAAAGATGTTGTGTCCGCCGAAATTAAAAAATAAAATATTAAAAAAAATTCTCTCTCTCTCTCTCCCCCTCCCTCTCTCTTAAAAAAAAAAGATGTTGTGTCCACCTAAAACTAAAAAATAAATATTAAAAAAAAAGGGCTGGGGATGTGGCTCAGTGGTTAGGTGCCCCTGTGTTCAATTCCTGTTTTTTTTTTTTTTAAACAAATTCGTATTTATTATTCATCCTGATATTCCAATCCTGGGCCAGCTGGGATGTTCTGAAGGCCCAAGCCAAGCAAGGTTCTGTCTCCATGCTTTCATGATTGCCAACACAGGGCAAAGGGAGCACAATAATCACACACTGACTTTAAAGCTTCTGCCTAGAAATGACATATCATCTTAATCAAGGCAAGTCACATTGCCATACCTAGCTTCAAAGATGGTGCAGAAGAGCATTTCCAACCTGGGTCCACAAAAAAGCCCGAAATAATTGGTGGGCAGCACAATTGAATGCCACACTCTCTTCTAGATACCAAATGTTAAACTCACTCTCCCGTCCACAGGTAAAGTATATGCAACCTTTTCTGCTTCAGAGACAATCTCAAAGTCCTGTCCAGTCAAGGCAATTCTCAAAGGTTATGGAGAGCAGTCTCTACAACAAGGGGTATATATAGCAGTGTCTGTATCAGGAGGTGTGGCTTTTCTTGATCTAGAGACCTGTGCACCAAAAGAACAATGATCAGCCTTCACATGCCAAACATACAATAATTGGATAGAAACAAGAAAAGCACACTCCCAGAATTGATATCATTCAGGAGGCGCTTAGCCACTGAGCCCCATCCTTAGCCCTTTGTTTTGAGACAGGATATTACTAAATTGCTTAGGGCCTCACTATGTTTCTGAGGCTGGCTTTGAATTCACAATCTTCCTAAACCACTGGGATTACAGGCACGCACTACCACTCCTGGCTCACAGTAGCAACTTTTATGAAATGGAAACTCTAAGAAAGTGCAAAGAGAAATAGACAAAATACACTAATATTAGGAAATCCTCATGTATATTTTCTCAGTTTGAGACAGATCAAAGTGTCAAAAATGAAAAGGATAGAGAAGGCCTAAGCAATTGGGTAGATTTTATGGATATTAAAACATTTATCTTGAGAAGACTTTTTCAAGTGTATGTGGAACTTCCACAAAATTGCCCACAAGCAAAACCCCAATATTGTTCATATTGCATATTCAAACAGCATATTTAAAAAAATTTTTTTGCATGTCTTTTTCTTCTTTTCTTCCTGAGGCAAATATTCCATACAACATGACACCCATTCTAAATATACTTCAATGTGTTTTGACAAATCAATATATTCAAGTAATCATCATAACAAACACCATTTCCAGGACTCCCAAAATTCCCTTGTGCCTATACCTGGCCATCTTCATCTTGACCTTAAGCAATCAATAATTTACTTTCTATAGTTATAGATTTATTTTTTTCCCTAGAATTTAAACAGAACCATACAGTGTATATTCTTTTATACCTGGCTTCTTTTGTTCAACTTGTTTTGAGACTAATCTATGTTGTTGAATTAGTAGTTGATTCCTTTCATTGCTGAATAGCATTCCACTGTATGAACATACCACATGTTTATTCATTTACCTACTGATGGATGTTTAGGTTGTTTTAAGTTTTTGCTTTTTGAATTTATGAACATAGGTGTATAAGCCTTTTTGTAAACACATTTTCATCTCTCTTGGGGTAAATACCTTTGTCAGCATGACTTGAGTACCCATTTCCCTACATCCTTGTTGTATTATTTTAGAATATCTTTTTATCAGCCACTTGTTATTTTAGGGAGGGGAGTGTCTTGCATGGAAAATTATAATTTAATAAAATTCAAACTTATTTATGGTGTTCTGCTTCTTTATTTTTAATTTTTTTTAGTTGTAGTTGGACACAATACCTTTATTTTATTTGTTTATTTTTATGTGGTGCTGAGGACTGAACCCAGCACCTTGCACGTGCTAGGCGAGCACTCTACCACTGAGCCACAACACCAGCCCTCTGGTGTTCTTCTTCTTATTGAAGAATTCTACCTAAAAGTTAGGAACACATTTTTCTTTATTCTAACACTTCTTAGTTCAAAACAAAATTTAGGTCTTTGATCTACTTTAAAGTATATTCTCATGAATCATGTCACATAAGAATTTTTTTCTTCTCCAAATATTGTCACCTTGCCATTGCAATAATGCAATAATCACTAATACTTGGTGGGATTCTTTTTTATTTATCTTTTTTAGAACTGGGGTCAAACCCAGGCTTTGCGAATGCAAGGCAGACGTTTTGCCATGAGCTACATCCCAGCCCAATAATTACTAATATTTATTGAACAACACTTCCTTGGGCCAGGTATTACTCAATTTAATCTTACCTTATCAGGCTTGTTTTGAGGATTAAATAAAACATTTTAAAGAAGAAATAAGGAAAGTATCAAATGGTTATGTGGTTTACCCAACTCTATACAGACTATAACTGGTGGAATCAGGATTCTAACCCTAATAGATGACTTCACATTATTTGGCATTCTAACATAATTTCCTTGTCCTACAGATTTGATAGCAACTTACTAATATAACAAATTCCCATAAATACATAGGCTTATTTATGGACTTTCCACTGTGCTTTAATGATCCATTTATCTATTCTTACATTACCTTGTAGTCATTTAAAAATATCTATATTGATCATATTACCTGTCTGCTTAATTTCTTTTTTCCCTCAATACTAGTGATTGAATCTAGGAGTGCTATACAACTAAGCTACATTCGTAGCCCTTTTTATTTTGAGACAGGGTTTTTGCTAAGTTGCTGAGACAGGTTTTTGCTAAGTTGCTGAGCAACTTAGCAAAAACCCTGTCTCAAACTTGTGATCCTCCTACACCAAGTTGTTGGATTACAGGCATGCACTCCCTGTGCCTGGCTTTACCGCTTAACAATTTAAGAACACCTTATTGACCTTAGGATAAGTCCAAACCCTTTGGTGATAAATAAGGCCCCCTCCTTTTTACCTCCCACTTCATGGATCTCAGATGTGGGTATATCCCCTATTGCCCCATGATTTCCTATGTTCCAGTCATAAAGTTTTTCCAGCAATTATCTGTACAAGTCAATCACGTTCATGTCTCCATATTCATACTACTTCCTGTGCTTCACCTTCTTTGTCTTGTTTACTGTGTAAGCACTCATTCATTTTTAAGTTTAACTCAAACATTACTACTTCTAGCCTTTCCTCCCTTCTCATTCCAACCAAATAAAAAGAAATCCTTCCTTTCTCCTTCATGTGCCCACAGCTTGCCTAATACTTGTACCCTAGCACTATTTTACTGTATTTATTCATTTGCATGTTTTTTTTTTAAAGAGAGAGAGTGAGAGAGAGGGGGACAGAGAGAGAGAGAGAATTTTAACATTTATTTATTTTTTCTTAGTTCTCGGCGGACACAACATCTTCGTTTGTATGTGGTGCTGAGGATCGAACCCAGGCCGCACGCATGCTAGGCGAGTGCGCTACCGCTTGAGCTACATCCCCAACCCCATTTGCATGTTTTTCTCTTCAACCATGTTTAGTGTTGTGAGGGCAGGACCAAATCTTATTAAGTACTGAATATAAACTTTAAAAACTTTGAGTAAATCTAATCATGTGAATAATGACTAGAACATATGATTTATTCAAAAAATGCAACAAATTTTTAAAGGTAACAAAATATCATTTTCAAAAAGCATCAAGAAGTGAGTATATTTAATCATATTTAGCTCATAACAGAGCAAATAATTCATGCTATAGGAATTATTCTATATTCTATAGCATGTTTACTGAACTGGCAACTGAGAAAGTTGGTCGAAGGAAGATAAAGGACTTTGTCTTGTAAGAATCAGAATCGAGGGGCTCCATAATCATCTGGCATACGCTCGATGTTGTATCTGTTCAGGGTAGAAAATCAACATTGGTAAGAAAGGTGGGTAGAACCCATCTAAAAACTCATCCTTTACTCATTATAACACTTATCCCCAATTTCTTTTGTCAGTGGGAATATTTTAGAGGGACCTCATAATGAGTGACTGACATCAAAACACTGACTATATTATCTTTTTCTTCAAATTCACAAAGTTAGCAAGTAGGGAAGCCAATGTCTGAATCCAGGGAAGCCCAAGTTCTTAGCCCATATTCTCACCATACTGTGATCCCCAAGCTGCTGAAAAGCTGGTCACTTATAGTTTGACCCAGAAACTTACAAGAACATTAAAGATTTTTTTTTTAAACAAGCTGTTAGTTTCCCAAATGAGGTGCTAATCAAAGTATCTTAAAAAAAAAAAAAAATCTTAAAAAAAACCACATCTTTCAAAAAGGTATTTCTGGCCAAAAAAGATTAGCTTGATTTAAAATAATGTTTTGTATTTAAAGCAATGTATCTATTCTTATTTAACAATTTGAGTGTCTGCTTCATTCCTAAATCCTATCTTTATTTTCTGTCCTTGCTCTTGATACTTTGTCTCATTTCTTCAATACAACCATGTAAATATTTGATATAGCAACTTCTTTGAAATCCTTTTATAACCTTGTAACTTGACCTCATTTGGGGAAAACTAAACCCCGAGGTGCTGCATTTATTGTTTAAAAATTGAGATGGAGGGGCTGAGGTTGTAGCTCAGTGGCAGTACACTCGCCTTGCTTGTGGAAGGCACTGTGTTTGATCCACAGCACCACATTAAAAAAAAATAAATAAAAAATAAAAGTATTGTATCCATGTCTCACTAGGTTGCTTTTGAGTTCTCCCAAAATTGCTAAGACTGGCCTCAAACTTGGGATCCTCCTGCTTCAGTTTCCAAAATTGTTAGGATTACAGGTGTGAGCATCACACCTAGCCTGAACTCTTTTTAAATTAACATCAACTATATTCTTCTAGTTACTTTCCCAAGAGAAATTTCTTACCTGTGGTTAGAAATGTACATGATAGGAACTCCAGGGATCTTCCGGATTCTTCGTTTAAGGTCACGGTCAACTGTGGCCACGATGTAACACTTGTGCTGAAAGAGATATCCATTGATGTTCATACAGAGCTCACTAAGTGTATTTAATGACTATTGGAAAATTGCACAACTATTGACTAATCTTAAGAATCATTCATTTTCACAGTAACTAGAAAAAGGAAGGCTATAACAATCTGTTGAGTAGCTACTGTGCTCTAGGAGCTCATATTTATAAAAACATAATAAATTGCTTAGGCTGAATATGATTCTAAGAATCTTGAGGGGAAGAAGGTAAAAAACTGTTTATAAGCCACAAGCTGTTTTCTGTCTCATAAATGTAAGAGACTTTTCTACCTTAGGGCACAGCTCTCTCCTTTCCCTGATCTCAGGGTTTAGATGTGCTTTAAAGCCTCTCAATGTGGAGGTAGGCTGCTCCTTGGGCTGGGAGCCCAGAACAGGATATCCAGGAACCGTAGTTTGAGCTTAGCATCTCTGAAAGCTGCAACATTTTGTGTTGTACCTTAGTTTTGTCATATCCAAATTTCCATTGAGTTTTACAAAAAGTTGCAGTGTGGTGCCTGCTGGGCTGTGGGAAATTATGGGCAATGCTGGCCCCATCTATGAGAAAGTGGCTAAAAAGACACAGAACAATCACCAGATGAAAATGATTATCCTCAGCAAGGGAGAAGAGTTTTTTTTTTTTTTTTTTTTAAGCAGAACTGAGGAACATAGAGCTTGGTGCATAATAGGCAAGCTCTCTTACCGAGCTATACCCCTATCCCAAAAGAGGCTCTTATAAGAGTTACCTATAAAGTTCGTGTGGCACTTGACAAGGAGGTCAGAATAGAACAATTCAAAACCTACTTATTCCAGGATAAGTGTGAGACAGCACCCTAGGAGATTTTGATGTAAATGAGAAACACTTTTGGGTTAGGCATGGTGGAAAAGGACAAAATTCCTGCATGAGGAGGAAATGGAACCTTATTTTAGAATCATAGGGAGGTGGAATCTGATATATGATTATATCTACATAAACCCAAACCATTTTAGAGATTTGAGGGATAAAGAATCAGTGGATTCAAAGACAGAAAAAGAAGAAATCAAACTATCTGCTGACAATATGATCCTTTATCTAGAAGATTCAAAATTTATAATTTTAGAGCTTAAGAGTTTAGCAAAGTAGTAGAATACAAGATCAACAACCATAAGCCAATAGCTTTTCTATGATTCAGTCAAGAAAGAAATTAGGGAAATCATCCCATTCATAATAACCCCAAAACAAAACAAAACAAAAAACCAAAAAACCTCAACCAACCAGCCAACAAAACAAACAAAAAAATTCGGGAATTAATCTAACCAAGGAGGTAAAAAAGTCCTATAATGTAAATTACAGAACACTCAAAAAGGAAACTGAAGAAAACTTAGAAGATGGAAAGATATCCTATGTTCTTGGATAGGCAAAATTAATATAGTCAAGAGCTGGGGTTGTGGCTCAGTGGTAGAGTGCTTGCCTGGCATGCGAGAGGCACTGGGTTCGATCCTCAGCAACACATAAAATAAAATAAAGATGTTGTGTCCACCAAAAACTGAAAAATAAATATTAAAAAAATTATCTCTCTAAAAAAAAAATTCATTTGGAAGAATAAGCGATCCAGAATAGACAAAGCAATACTAATCTAGAAAAGCAAAGCAGAAGGCATCATAATACCTGATCTGAAATAGGTGGGATGCTGTCAAATTAAAAAGCTTCTGCACAGCAAAGGAAACAATTAAGAGATTGAATAGAGAGCCTGCAGAATGGGAGAAAATCTTTGCCAACTACTCCCCCAAGAGGGTACTAATATCCAGAATATACAATAGAACTCAAAAAACTCAACACCAAAAAGCAACGAACCAACCAACCAACCAACCAAACAAACAAAAAAAACACCCAAATAACTCAGCCAATAAATGCAAAAGAACAACACAGAAACTTTTCAAAAGAAGGAACACAAATGGCTGGCAAATATATGGTGTTCAACATCTAGTAATCAGGGAAATGCAAATCAAAATTACACCAAGATTTCATCTCACTCTAGTCAGAATGGCAATGATCAAGAATACAACAATAATAAATGCTGGTGAGGTTGTGGAGAAGAAGGTACACTTGTACACTATTGATGGGACTGCAGACTAATACAACCACTCTGGGAAGCACTATGGAGATTCCTCAAAAAATTAGTGATGGAACCACTATATGACCCAGCTATATCCCAGTTCTTGGTATTTTCCCAAAAGATCTAAAATTGGCATACTACAGTGATATATCCACAACAATGTTTATAGCAGCATAATTTGCAATAGCTAAATTATGGAATTAACCCAGATGCCTGTCAATAGATAAATGGATTAAGAAGATGTGATGTGTATGTATACGTATGCATACACATACACACACACACACACACACACAGGAGTTCTATTCAGCCATAAAAATCAAGTTGTGGCATTTGAAAATGAAGTAGATGGATGGAAATAGAGAATATCATGCTAAGTGAAATTAGCCAAACTCAATGGTGGAATGTTTTCTCTCACATATGGAAGGTGAAGTACAATAAAGGAAAGGAGGAGGGAAGAGGAGGCTAACATAAGGAACCAATTAACTGGGCTGGGGATCTGACTCAGTGGCAGAGCACCTGCCTGACCCATGTGAGGCATTGGGTTTGATCCTCAGCACCAAATAAAAATAAATAAATAAAAGAAAAAAAGTGACTTAAAAAAACGATCAATTATAATTTAATAGAGAGTGAAAGAAAGTTTAGTAGAGTAGAAGAAGGAGAATGGAAAAGGGGAGGGAGGATGGAAGGAAAAAAGCAAGAGGGAAAAGGAGGGGAATCATGAAATAAAATCAAATTCCATGCATGTATGAGTCTTGTCAGGATGAACCCAACTACTATGTATAACTACAAAGCTCCAATTAAAAAAGAAACAAACAAACAGAAAAAAATAGAGAATATAACCAGTGTAACCCAAATCACATCCCCAGGCAGTGCAGGTGCTGAGATTTGAAACCATGCTTCATCTCCAACCTGTGCTCTTCTCATTATGGTTAGAATATAAATTTTCAATCCACTTTCTCAAGTAAATGAGGAAATTTATGCTTCTTGTGAATAGATGTTATATAATTTTTTAAATCATTTATATTTCTAGATACTTTACTGACCATGAACATTCAGGAGATAATAGTTTACCTTTTTTGTTTTAAAGTAGAAATAAACATTTAAAAACTTATGATACCTGAGTTACTCTTTGTACTAAGCAGTCATCTGCATAGGTTCCTTTGTGCGTGCATGGTAATCGTTCAAAGCGGGGATCCTTTGCAATCCTGCAGGGTTATAATAGTGGATTAAAGAAAACACTCAAGCAACTGGATAATCTCCTGTGCCTCAATCAGTGAAGTGAAAGCAACATGACCTCTGCAGATTTTCAGGCACCTTCTCCTCTTGAAGCTTATCTTTTAACTAGAAACACACCTTTCAGAGCTGGGAGTCAAAGCTTGCTGACTGATAACTGGTGGTATGCCTACAGTCAATTAATCATCGCAGAACTCTGAATTATATTTCCATTTTAAAGAAGAAGCAGGTTCAGAGAAGTTAATTTGCTTAAACCTACATAGTTGGGAAAAGCCAGGATTCAAAACCAAATTAATTTGACAGTTCATTTTTAGGAAGTTGTTTTATACGAATGTACTGGAAGACAGGCACAAGGATGGGAATTACAGTGTGGTTTATAACAGTAAAAAAAGAAGGCACTCTAAATATCCAGCAACAAGGTAAAGTTAAGATATTTGGGTACCCCTGTCCTATTTAAAAAAAAAAAAAAAAAGGGAATGTGGAAGGACCTATACTAAACTGTGCAATAAACATAGGAGGCCAATGAACAATATATAAGCAAAAATGCATATATAAAAGTATGAATGAACACACGACTAAATTAAGAAAATAAAAATTCCCTTCTCAGGTAATCTTTCTCTAGACTTACATTGCATAGAAAAGGGTCTGAAAAAATATGTAAACTAAGATTTTTTAATTATCACTCTGAGGATAGGAAAATGGTCAAAGTGTGAATGTGGAGAAGGACTCTTTAATTATCTGTATATTTATTCTGTTTGTCATAAAAATGTATTATTTTCATATAAATCTGAAAAAGGAAAAATCCTGATTCAGTGATTCCTAGGGCTCTGTTCTTTCTGTTACACAACGATGATGAGTCACTGAAATGGATAAAAATACAAGGTAGCACACAGGTACCAAGTGCAACAAAAATACTCCATATTGCAGTAGTTCAGTGCTAGATCAATGTGGGCTGGATAATTTAGAAAAAGACATAGAGATGAATAAAATGAAGATGAAAGAATGTACCAAGCAAAGTGAGGTTAGGCATATTCCAAACAGGGCACCATCCAACAATAAAATGTTTGCTGCTGATCAGGAAAGAGTGAGCACATCTGGCAGAGAAGTGTTTATGGAGAGGTGGGTAAAATAAGGCTAATTTCCAATGCCAGGCTGAGGAGTGTGAGCTTCATGACAAAGGTGGTGGGAGTTAGTATAAGATTTCTGAGGCAAGGGCTAAATAAAGTTGTGTATATCTGTAATCCCAGTAGCTCAGGAGGTTGAGGCAGGAGGATTTCAAGTTCAAGGTTACCTTCAATAATTTAGTGAGGCCCTAAGCAACTCAGCAAGACCCTATCTCAAAATAAAAAAGGGCTGGGGATGTGGCTCAGTGGTTAAGCACCCCCGGGTACCAATCCCTGGTACCAAAAATGATTTTTTTTTTTTTTTTTGGTGGGGTAGGGCACTGGGATTGAACTCAGGGGCACTTGACCACTTAGTCACATCCCCAGCCCTATTTTTTATTTTATTTAGAAGAAGGGTCTCACTGAGTTGCTTAACACCTTGCTTTTGCTGAGGATGGCTTTGAACTTGTGATCCTCCTGTCTTAGCCTCCTGAGTAGCTGGGATTACAGGTGTGTGGCACCACACCTGGCCCAAAAGAGATTTCTGAGGGAAGAGTGATATGAACCAAGTTCTATCATGGGAAGAATTAGCATGCTGGGTAAGGAGGATACACTAGAAGGAAGACAGGCTGGTAGCTGAGAAAAGATGTAGGCAACAGTCTTGTGACTTGGCTCTTTGGCTACACCTTTCACTTTTGGAATTACTTATTTCTTCCTCTTAACTGGCTCTTTTCTGGGGACAGACCAACATGCTCTAGTACTTTCCCATCATAAAAAAGGAAAAAAAAAGTTTAATTAGCACTTCCTTTTAGCTAACACCTCATTTGTTTCTCTACATAATCAAACTTGTGCCCATATTTCCCTCCCTCTCCCACTGTTCATTTATTTTTTAAAATTTTCTTTAGTTGTTGATGGACCTTTATTTTATTTCCTCATTATATGTGGTGCTGAGAAATTGAACCCAGTTCCTCACACATGTAAGGCAAGCATTCTACTGCTGAACTAGAACTCCAGCCTCCCGCTATTTATTTATATTATTTAAAAAATAATTACCTCTTTTCCCCTTTTAATTTGAATTATTTCAGATATGCAAAAATGGATGAAGATTAAATTTTCATTAAAGAGCCAGGTGCAGTGGTGTAATCTCAGCGAGTTGGGAGGCTGAGGCCCTAAGCAACTTAGCAAGACCTTGTCTCAAAATAAAAAATAAGAAGGGCTGGGGGTGTAGTTCAGTGGTAAAGCACCCCTGAGTTCAATCCCAGTCCCTCTTTACCCCACTACAAATAATTATTATGCTGAATTTCATTCCATATTTATCATCCACACACACTTTACTACAGATGTAAGATTTCATATGTACATACCTATACACAGTGTAATATTGGCTTGCATGTTTTTAAACTTTAGATAAATGTATGCTCTTGGTTGGTTGTTTTATAATGCTTTTGAGATTTATCCATATTGACAATTATACCTCTAGTTCACCCATTTTCACTCCTAAATAGTATTTTATTCATGAACATTCCATAATTTGTCCATTCTCTCCTTAAAGGACCTTTGGCTACCTATAATTTTTTGCTATTACATAAGAAAATTCCAAAACTTGACTCTACAATTGTTGTGTGAGTTTCTTTATGGCAGTGCCTTTCTGTATGACCAGAAGCCACAGTATGAATGCAGTCTACTAGCACTCACTTTGCACTTTTATACACAAGCTTATAAAAGTGAAAAGAGTTTTGTGAAACAGTATTCAACTCTTACCTCATGCAAGGCATGCTAACATTCTATTATATTAAAAACAATATTAGTTGTGACTCATTAAACTGATTTCACAACCTACAGACTATGAGCTCTAGGTTGAAAGACAGTGTTGGAACAGCATGGACAACCTTGATTTTACCAGATATTGCCAGATTGCTCTCCAAAGTCATGTCACATTGACAGCCATAGTAGTTGAGTATGAGAATTCCCATTGTTATACAAACTCAACTATTTTGGGCATTGTCAAGCAGATTTAATTTGTTTTTGCCAACCCGATGAGTATGAAATGGCATCTCACTGTGAATTTAAGGATTATTTGTCTTTTTCTTAGATATATATAGAAGTTCTTTATACAGTTTGAAAATAAGCCATTTGTTCATTACATGTGTTATTAATATCTTCTCAATGTCTCTAGCTTGTCTTAATTTTGCTTATGGTATCTTTTGTTATAAAGAAGCATTCAATTTCCATATAGTCAAATTGATTAATTTTGTTATAGTTTGGACTTCTTGAGAAAGTCCTACCCATCCTCAGCTCATTAAGATATTCTTTATATTTTCTACTAAAAGTTTAGATATTTCCTCTACCTGGAACTGATTTTTGTGTAAGATAAAGATCTAATTTTTCTTTCTTCCTACAGATGTAATCAGTATTTTAGTAATTTATTACTTTCCTACTGACCTAAACAATACTATCTAAGATGTTCCATTTGTTTTTTTGCCTTTAAAAAATCATCTTTTTTATATCAATGAAATATAATAGAAATCTCTAGTTATAGAGATATGCTTGCATAAGTTTTAACACACTTATATATCCATGGAACTTCTTCCACCACTGAGAAATAGAACATTTTCTTCTCCACAAAAAGCTGCCTCATGCCTCTTTGAAGTTAATCCCCGCTCCTACTCTTGGCTCCAGGAAACCACTACTCTGTATTCTATTCTAGTTTTGCCTTTTCTAGAATTCCTATAAATGAAATAAAATTTCTAGACAGGAATGTTTTATTTCTTGACTATAATAGAAGTCCTATTGTTATATACGTATGCCAAACTCACCAAATTATACAATTTAAATTAGTGAATTTTATAGTATAGAAATTATATCTCCATAAAGGTGACAAAAATAATCCACTGGTCTATTGAACATGTTTTTTAGCCATGGCATGATTTTGTGACATCATTTATAAGTCACTTAGAAAACAGTCATTAGTTGAGGTATAGTGCTTTTTCCAACTATTGGCATTTTTCATTATAAGTTATGAAAAAACATCACACCCGTTACCTCCACTGGTCTCAATAAGAACAATAAGAAGGTCTTTAATATTGAGGATGTGATAAGCTTACCATAAGCTTGAATTTTATCACTGGCAATTGATATGGTAAGTTGCTTTCCTTGAAGTGATGTGTTCACCACTGTTATTTTTTTTAAATTTTTGGTACCAGGGATTAAACCCAGGGGCACTTGACCCCTGAGCCACATCCCTACCTCTTTTCTGTATTTTATTTAGGGACAGGATCTCATTGAGTTGTTTAGCAACTGGCTTTTGCTAGGATGGCTGTGAACTCGTGATCCTTCTGCCTTAGCCTCCCAGGCCACTGGGATTACAGATGTGTGCCACCATGCCTGACGCCACTGTTAATTTTTGAGAAAATGTTTGCCAAATAACAAAGTCTAAATAACCAGTGTTTATCAGTTGTTCCTTCACAGAAACAATGACATTCCATGAAAAACCAGCTGGTTCAGTTCCCAACTCAAACACACACACAACACTTTTCATTGAGATAACTTTTGTCCATTGGTATGTAGCAGAGGTGCTCTGTGTATGCATCACATTTCATCACAAAGAACACTGATGTGTATTTGAAGGTCAAGATATAATGAAGTTACATTTTACTGCTTCATTAAGGAATCTGCCTCACTGGAGATTGAATCTAGGATGTTCTACCACTTAGCTACATTCCCAGCTATTTCCTTTTTATTTTTGATAGAGAGTCTTGCTAAGTTGCCAAGCCTGGCTTTAAATCTGCAATCTTCCTGTCTCAGCTTTCCCAGCCACTGGGATTATAGGTGTGTGCCACTATAGCTAGTTTCAAGGACATTCTTAAGCAACTCTGGCTCTTTTTTAAAAAAAAAAACTGCCAGTGAAGAGCAGTGAGGAATACAATGGCTACTAGCCTTGTAGGAGCCCATTATTTTGATTCATACTAAGGCATAAGCAATGTCATCAGTGCAAATGTCAACACAGTGACAAAAGCACTGGCTCTATTATTATAAAATGAGTTTTGTGAATAAAAGGTTTTGTGCAAAAGTCTCTGGTACTCAGAAGTCCATGGACACATGTTGAAGATGTCTACTCTGAATTCAAAGTTCTAAATTCAATTTTCTAGGGTAAACTCAAAACTTTAAATGTGTACATTTTAAGTGTGAGATACTGAAAGAGATGTCTTTATAACAAACTAATAAATAACTTCTAATGGAAAAATTGAGAGGAAATTAAAAGGAGTCACAAGATCAATATGACTAAGTAGCTTTGTTCAAAGAGGTTGAGCTTAAAATCTTTTAAACTTTATTTAATTTTTAAAATCATAAAAGTTTTGTTTAATTTTTATTTTGTCTAATTGGTCAATCACTCTTTGGAAGGCAAAGAGATGAAGAAGGGTCAAAAGAATCTTTATTATACCAAGAACTGGTGTTGTGGCTCAGTGGTAAAGCAATTGCCTAGCACATGTGAGGCACTGGGTTCAATCCATACCACCACATAAGAATAAATGAATAAAATAAAGGCATTGTGTCCATCTACAACTAAAAATATTAAAAAAAATAAAAGAATCTTCAGTATACCAATCTAAAATAAAACTAGACTAGATCCTTCTTACCTTAAAGCCACTCGATATTTTTGCCCCAATTTCTCAATTTCAGCCATTACACAATCAGTTATACAAGGGATACCTGCCAGGAAAAAATACAAAAAAGTTAACAACAGAACTTGTGGATAAATTATGTGAATTATGTCCTGGTCAATCTTTAATAGATCCAAGAAACTTCTGGAATAACAGCTAAGATCTAGAGAAGACTATCATGTATAACTAAAAATAACAAATTAAAAAAAAAAGAACTAGAGAAGAAATCCCTATTTATAAAGCAACTAGGGAATTGTCACAAAGACATGCCATAGACTTTAATAAGCACCTGTCATAAATGTGGGGAAAAAATAAGCTGAATCCTGTTATTATTTTTGTGTAATTTGTAGATGGAAAAAATATTGAAATTTAAGCCATGAAATTAAGTAAAAAATACAAATTTAATCACATAAATAAAAGAAAACTTGACCACTACCAAAAGCCACAGTAGTCTAAAAAATAAGGTGGGAAAAATATTTTTACACATTTGTCAAAAGGGCTAATTTTCTTAATGTATTCCTATAAATGAAATATCTCAGCTATTATAATAATAGTTTGTAATTGTGTACTATTTGCCAGACACTGTGCTAAGTACTTCATAAGAACCGACTCACTCTAGTGTTCATAATAACACCTACCAGGTAGCACTGTTGTCATAATTATCATCATTCCTATTTTATAGATAAGGATCTTCAGATGCAAAAAAGTAACTAGATAGATAATGGTGAAGTCAAGATTTGGATAGTCTATTCTGGGATCTTTTTTTTTTTTTCTTTCTTCTTGCAGTTCTGAGAATCAAATCCAGGGCCTCATGTAGACTAGGTAAGTGCTCTACCATTGGGCTATACCCAACCCTTACACTAGGGATCTTAACTGCCAAGCTATATTTCAGTTCATAGACTAGGACATAGAAATGGTCAATAAGCATAAAGATGCTCAATCTTACTCCTAATTAAAGAGATATAAATCAAAACAAACACTTTCTTCTTAGTAGAGTGGTGATATATGCTATAACATGAACGACTCTTGAAAACATTATGTCAAAGGAAAGAGGACCAAATATTATGACTCTATTTTCAAGAAATGTCCAGAATAAGCAAATCTATAAAGACAGAACATTGGTAGTTGCCTAGGGATGGGGAGAATGAGGAGGGTTGTGGAGTGATGGTTAACAGGCACAGGGATTTTCTCCAGGTCATTAAAATGTTCTAAAATTGTTGTGATTGATGATGCATAACTCTTGTGACTACAATAAAGGAAACTGAACTGTACACTTTAAATTGTGAACAGTATGTGAATTACCTAATACAGCTGTTTTAAAAAAATTTTTAAGTTGTTGATGGACCTTTATTTATTTATATGTGGTGCTGAGAATCAAACCCAGTACCTCACACATGCTAGGCAAGCATTCTACCACTGAGCTGTTTTTTTGAAAAGAACAAAAATAAGATCTATTTTCATTTTTAATAAAGATAAGTTCCATCTTTCACAGTTTGTATGCAAGCTTGCGATCTTCCTGCCTCAGCTTCCCAAATAACTAGGATTATAGGCATGCAATTACAGCACCCAGCTACATGCTTATCTATAATCATCCCTTTCCATGAAGTCTTGAACTCCACAAAGTCATCTATGAGGGCTGAAATCAATTTCTTCTAACCTCCTGTTAATGTTGATATTTTAACTTCTTCCCATAAATTATGCATGTTCTTTTTTTTTAAATATTTTTTTAGTTGTTGATGGACCTTTATCTTGTTTATTTATATGTGGTGCTGAGAATCAAACCCAGTGGCTCACACATGCTAGGCAAGTGCTCTACCACTGAGATATAACCCCAGCCCATGAATATTCTTAAAGGCACCTCATTCAATCTGGAAAGGTCCAGATCTATCAGAGAAATAGATAATGGCAGTGTGCCACCGCAGCAGTTGTGAAGTGTAATTTTAAAAATCACAATAGCACAAGGTGTGTCTATAGTATCCTTTACAAATTAAAGGAGGAGGCTGGTGTTGTGGCTCAGTGTTAGAGCACTTGCCTAGCTTATGTGAGGCACTAGGTTCTATCCTCAGCACCACATAAAAATAAATAAAGATATTGTGTCCATCTACAATTAAAAATATATTTTAAAAAAGATTAAAGGAGGTATTAACTTTCCCTTTTTATTCCAGTAATTTATTCTTTATGACAAAGTACAAGCCTAATTTTCATTTGTATTTTTTATCAGGTGACTGGAAAATATACAAATTTAAACTTATCAGATCTTACTATTAGGAAGTTATGGCCTACATTTTTTTGCCTGTTCATGGCAGTGTTGGAAAATTGTGTGAAGGAAGATAACCTAAGTATACAAGGGAACTTTAGTAATGGTAAATTGCACATCTAGGTGTAAATATATTATCTCAGGTTGTTTTAGTACAAATAAATAACATCTGAATAAACAGAAATCAACCATCATCCAACTTCTGATTCTATGATTGTAAATGACAAAATGTCTGTAGCTTTTCTACACTCCTTAATATAAAAAAATGTATATACTGAAAAATTATAATAGACTTTAATATACCTAGAATTTTAAAATCCAAAATTCTAAAACATAAAATTCCCTTTTTATGTTCAGAATTGATATCCATAACGATGGCCAAAGCACTGTTTTCTGAATTGTGAAAGTTCAATTACTTCTAGTCATGTATGCTTAACATTTCATTAAAAATGGTCATTTCTATGATAGCCATTGCAAATTAAATGGCAATTCATTCATCGCAAATCCTATCTCCTTCTTTTCATGTTTTTGGATAAATATGATTATTCTGAACAAATGTCAAAGAAATGTAAAAGTATGTTACTCACACTTGGCATACAGACAGTCCATCATTGATTGCACTAAGTCCAGTTTGGCTTTAATAGAAAAATTGATAAAGTTGGTATCAACCAGGATATGATAAGGTGGGCCCAATTGTGTATTATATTGGAAGAATAAGCAGGAAGGGTGTTGGGGGCTGAAATAAAAAGAAAAATAAGAACACAAAGTTAAGTCTACATTGATATTTTGGTATGAACAAAAAATGAAAATGAAGTCTTTGCTGAGGATAGTTCACTATAGATTAAGTTCCTTTTCTCTTATTCATTGGGAATAAGTTCTAAACAGGAAAGCAAGGGAGAAAGTAAAAAGCTTATTTCTTTTTAAAATTCTATCTGTTTTTTTTAACTTTATTATTATTTTTAAAAATGTGGTGCTGAGGATTGAATCCAATGCCACACGTATGCAAGGCAAGTGCTCTACTACCGAGCCACAACCCCATCCTGTGAAAGCTTATCTTAATTGTACACTAGCATGTTTTGCCACAGATTTAAAAAAGCAATTATTCAACACAGATCTTTTTCTATCAGAAGCAGAGTAGCCATGGACACAAGTGGTAGAATACTGATATCTTAATCAGAATAATACTACACCAAGTTTGCTATTCTCATAGAATCCTAAACTGGTTGTACAAAATGTGGTCTAAGATAACAGTTTGTCCAGTGTTAGGATTATGTAATACAGCAGGGCCTTTTTCTCATCTACAAGTCCCAAATGTTTAAATACTACTCCATGGACCAGGTTGAGAAAACAAAGAAAATGCAGTAAGGCTTTTGTAAAGTTAAATATATTTATTAAAAGAAATGACTTTATTCTGAAAATACTATTTATTCATTAGTATTTATTTATTTTTTTTGTAATATAATCTTTATTTCATGAAATGCTGGTGTGTTAAACAATGGTAATTATGTCTTCTAAAAGATTCTGGGCAAACAAAAACCCTAATACTCTCAGATTATATTCCCAGGATTTTAGGGGAAATCTTACAGCTCCATGAAATCCCAAAGCCTTCAAACCACTGGCATCAGTGTATGCTCAGCAATACCACTCTTATTTGCATAATGTGTCAGACTTACTAACAAATGATTGAGTAAATCAGCTTATGGAAAGCCTGGATTTCTAAGAGGTTTTGGGCTGTCCCTTTCAGGTTTAAAAGAAAATTTAATAAAAGTTTTTGATTACTCACACTTCTCTTTCCTTCAGTGCACTGGGATCTTTCTTTTGTTTCTTTTTTGGTTTTAATCTATCCTTTTCTTTACTGGGGGGAAAAAAAGTTAATACAGGAGAGATGAAAAATATTACAGTAGTTAGCTCATTAAAAAGTTCCATTCTTTTTTTCCTACAGAGCAAATCCTATTTTGTTATATTTTTATGTTAATATCAGCCTACACTTTCTGAGCAAATAACTGTAGTGGAAAGTAGTCTGGAACTATCAAAATTATTCAGTAAAACCAATAATCCAAAAAACTGTTAATGGGTAAATGTGGGTTAAACTATAGTGTCTTTCTTAGCAAGAAGTTCTCATATCAAGGACCCAAATCCCTCCCAAGAAGTGAGTAAAGAGGTTGTTGATATTTATCTTCTGATGACTCAAATGTTTTAATAGTAGATAGGGAATGACATTTTCCCAAATGCTTCTTATAAAGGGTTAGACAGCTGGGTGGTACATTCCTGTAATCCCAGTTACTTGGAAGGCTGAGGCAGAATTGCAAAGTTCAATGCCAGCCTCAGCAATTTAGCAAGATCCTGTCTCAAAATAAAGGGATGTAGCTCAATGGTAAAGCATCCAGTATGGAAAAAAAAAAAAAAAAAGGGAGATGGTGCTAAATCACAAGACATATACAAAATTTAACTGTAAGTAGAAATTATCAGTGGGGCCTCATTCCTTTAAAGGACATAATTAATCCACACCAATGGCTTGCCTTTTTTTTTTTTTTTTGGTGTTAGAGATCAAAGTCAAGGCCTCATGCAAGCTAAGTAAGTGCTCTATCACTAAGTTACATCTTCAGTCCCTAATATATCCACATCAAATGCTTGGAAGATTAACTCTGGAGGCTCTCATGACCTTTCTGTTTTTGTGAAATTTAAAAACAATGAAGACCAGTCCTTATTTAATAACCTATCCAGTCTTGACAGAAGCAGAACAACTATTTAGGTCCTCTTTATAATAGAGAATTTCTCTCTATTCTTTTCTTCCACAGTGATCTGGATTCATATAAGATTTATAACATGGAGTCATTTGGGAGTTTTCTCATTCTCTTTCAAAAAAAGTTTAAGTGTCAAGTGCTGAACACATGGTCTTTGACTTCACCATCTTTCAAGGACAACAAACATCTTTTTCTGGGGAATGTAGCAATGTAATGGTAAGAACATAAAGGTGTCTACATCACACAATTGTTATAATGTTTAAATGTGACAAAGCACATAACAAGAGCGGAACAAAGTGAACACTTAAGAAATGTTTATCTCCCATGGCCTTTCCCAGCAAAGTCGCTCAGCAGCGCAGTGACTATTACACATCTGACTATTATCTCCTGAGACACAAATCTAAGACACAATATTATAAGAGAAAACAAAACAACAAAAATATTTGCTACTTATCCCCTCGTGACTTCTCTATCTCTGGGCAGTCTTAAGAACCCAAAAGATTCTGGACACTCACAGCCTCTCATCTCTGAGACTAAGCATTCGCTTCATGGTCGCATACTTTCTTGTTTTCTTTTGCTTTCCCTTGAAACAGAAATTTTAGAGTTAAAAGCGTACATTGTATCTTTTTTGAAGTACTTTTTCTCTTGTCCATTCTCTTCTTCCTTCAAACACCCAACCCCTCTCCTCACTCCTTAAAAGCACAACAAGCTCGGTTCAGAGCCGTTTAAGAACTAAGTTCCGAATGCAAATAAACAAGGAAAGTGTAAGGAAAAAGAAATGGAGTCAAGCTCTGAGTCCTTCCTAATCGCCCCATATAAGTGCTCCGACAGACCCTCTTCTCACCATGTTCAAGCTGCACACCCGTTCTTCCGGATACACCAATTACACGACACTTTTACGACATCTATATACTGCTTCCGGCGAAGGATAACCCGGAAACGGAAGCCGCTTTGAGAAACGGAAAAACCCCAAGCCGGCTCTTAGCTCCGGCAGAGACCAGCCCTGGGGGCTCTTGTCGGATTCCTTGGAGGTCTGTCTTCGGTTGAATCCTGCTGCCGCTTCCCAGGACACCTCAGCTGAAACTTAGCTGCAACTGTAGCTCGGGTAACGTTTCTCTCCACTCATCCTGCCCGAAGCAGATCCCAGCAAACCTGTCTGCACCAAAGTTCCCAGAAAGAGGACAAGTGTTGCGAGTCGGAATCCTGGGTTGCCCAGTAGTTTGAGGAAACACCTGTCCTTATAGTCCAGCGCTGGGGCATCAGGTCTCCGTTCTCCAATCCTGAGGCTGCGATTTCTAGTCGGGTTTCCTGGCCCGCAAGGTGCTTCGTGCACCTTACAAGGACCTTTCTTCTCGAATAAACAGTTTATTCGTCCAGGCAAAGAGTGATGAAGAAGCGCTTGAGGGCCTTCTTTAGGCTCTCTCTGGAAAACTGGGACGTAAACTTTTATATATTATTATTCCTTAAGCCAAGAATATGGTGGGAAAAAACTGGTATTTATTGTGAAGGCTTGGCATGCCTTCCCTGAGGGAAAAGGGAGAATTTGTGAGAACAAGAAGGGAAAGGTAGCGTACCCCGCAAGTATCTGTTATGTACGCTGTGGGTCTTTATCTTTTGGAGCTCATTCATACCCCGTGAAAATTTGTGGAAAGCTAGGCACAGTTCTTTAAAAAATGAGCTCAAGTGCGCAGCACCCTTACAATTTAAAAGACTTATGTACTATGAAGTGTATCCCTGGACCATTCAAGTGTTTGAAAACTTCATACTAAGTACACATACCCCTATATTGTGTACTGTATTTGTGCTGTACTTATCGCTTGATGCTTTATGTTACTTATTTTTTGACCTTCACAATAACTTAAGTACATTCATTTTAGGTATGGGGAAGCTGAGGCATAGGCTTTATTTAGGGGTCTATTTGATCCCAAAACCTATGCTTTGCTTTCCTTTGCATTTTTTTTTTCCAAATGGTGCTAGGTGTCCAACCCAGGGGATTATGTTTGGTAAGCAATGCATTCTCACAGAGCTTATACTCTCAGCCTCACCTGTGCTTTTCTTATTGCTTGATACATCTCAGATGATACAAACATTTGAGAGCCCCAAATGTTTTCAGGTTAAAGAAAAAAGTGACCATTGTATAACCCTTATTATAAGACAATATATTGGTTAATAGGAACTTGGAATCTGACTGATGGTTTTTTTTAAAAAAATTTATGCCTCTTACTAGCTGCATGACATTGGACAAGTTAATCTGTGTCTCACTCTCTTCATATAAAAAATTGAGATAATCATAACAGTACCTGCCTTACAGAGATGTTATCAGGACTTATTATCCTCATTTATAATATGAAGTACCTAGAAAAATAACTACCACAAAGTAAATTTACCAAGTGTTTTCTATTCCGTGTTGTTCCTACACAATTCTTCCAACTGTGGTAGAATTAGAATTTTATGCAGAGTTTATTTTAATATATAGTTTCACTATTTTGGAACTTGAATATGTTGATAAGCCTCAAAACCTTTTTCTCATCAGTTTTTCAGGTCTTGAGAAGCTCAGTTGCGGGCAGTGTTGATTTGAATGTAGACCTACTATTTGTCCTGCTTCTCTTTTCTCCTTTAAGCATGCATGATTTAGATTGCTTTGGTTTGCATATTTGTAGGCTCTGAACTTCTGATGTTGAAGTAGTTTTATTATTAGAATATCTACAAATTCTGTATGTACCTTTTGCTTTATTCCATTTGAAGTCACTAGACGGTCTTAATTTTTTCAGAACAGCTTGTCTGTGCCAAGCTGTCATTCATGGGTAGAGCTAATAGCAACCACTTTTTTTTTTTTTTTGATACATTAGAACCTCTTGGTGATTAGGCAGTAAGCTTTTTTTTTTTTAAATATTTGTTTATTTTTTAGTGTGTTTTTTTTTTTTTCCGGTGGACACAACATCTTTATTTTTATGTGGTGCTGAGGATCGAACCCAGTGCCCTGCACATGCCAGGCAAGCTCGCTACCGCTTGAGCCACATCCCCAGCCCCTGGGCAGTAAGCTTTTAAAGTAAACATTGCCAGTTATTTTTTAAGTCAGTTCAGAGTGCTAGGATGTATCTCAGTGCTGGCTTGTAGCTCAGTGTTGGGCTGCAGCTCAGAGATCCTGGTTCAATCTCTGGCACTGCAGAAACTAAGCAAAACATTTAGAGACTGATTTGGTAATTTACTAATCAGTCTCTAAACATTTTGTTTTGTTTTTGCAGCGTATATATTTCATTCAGAGGAACAATTGCATATGATTGAATAGTAATTTGCATTTAAATTCAGGCACTGATGGAAAACACTTCCTTGGTATTAGGTCCCCTGATATTTGGAACTCATATAAAAATTTTTTTAAAAGTGGTTTGCAATTTTTGTTCTGAGAATTTTCTTATTTCCTTATTAATATTTAATAGGGAGCTAAATTAGTGTGGGAATACCATGGGGGATGAGAACATGCTTAGAAAGGTATGTTTTTGCTGCATTGTAATTTTGTTGAAATCTGAGATTCTTATAGCCTGAGATTAAACTACTTGGATACTCTCTAACATTCTTGGATAGGAACGGGAAGAGAAGAGGTGGTGTTGGTTGTGTTGCATGGAAGCAGGAGGGAATGGCTTTCAGGTACATACTTGTAAGGAAGAGAAATTATTGTAATTCTTAGCAGTCAAGAGGGTTGTTTTGTATTTTTCTTCAGTTTTGAAGAAAAAGAATCAAAGCATTGGACCCACATTGTGAACATATAATTTGGCTTGGACTTCCCCCATGCACTAATTGGACTAATTTACCAATTTGAGTTGATAACAAATTTTTTTTTTTTAAAGAGAGAGTGAGA